GACCGAGGCGTCCCGGCTGAGCGGCTCCATGGACGGGGCTGAGCCATTGTAGCCGCACATCTTCAGGTCTGGAGACCGAGCAGACGAGACCCCCCCAGGAGGATGGGGCGTTAGGCAGGGAAACCCACGCGCCCCCCAGATCCATCCCAGCAGCCCCCAACTCCCAGCCCCGCTCCCCAAGTGCTAGGCCTACTGTCCCAGGCTGCAGGGGGAGCATTTAGCCCTGACACCCCAGGCCCTGCAGGGCACCCTGCTCACCTGCCTGTGTGTCCTCCAGCTCCAGGCTCCCCACCAGGCCGGCCCCATTCTCCGAGACAGCGGGCGGTGTGTCCTTGCCCCCGGCTGGTGCCCGCTCTGCGCCAGCGTCGGGATCATCCTGCGGGCAGTGGGGCGGCGAGAAGGCCTGGCCACTGGTGCCCAGCATGGGGGAGGGCTGGGAGGCCGTGTAGAAGCTGCCCGGGCCGTTGGGCAGGAGCTCAAAGCTCTGGTCGGGGAAGGAGTCGTACAGCTCTTGAGAGTCGAAGTTCAGCCCCATGGAGCCGGGTGTCCCGTTGCCCCAGAACTCGGCTCCCCCCCGCAGGGCCGGGCTGTGCCCGGGTGACGGGGGCCGCCCGCCACTCAGCAGTCCGTTGAGTGGGTACTGCCCAAGGCCGGGGCCGTCCTTGAGGCCGCCGGCGCCAGATGCCGGGTACTGCGAGTAGTTCCAGAGATAGTCGCAGGGGTGCAGGGGGGGGGCGGCCGGGGAGTGGGTGGGCGAGTTGAAGGTCCCTGAAGTACTAGTGTGAGATACAGTAGATAAGCCATTGACATTCATGTCCCCGTTCAGACCTGCCAGGGGGGAGAGAGAGAGGAGAGGGGTCAGCCACGTCCAGGAAGGAGCCTGTGGCACCTCCCGCCCGGCCTGGGGGCAGATGGAGACCAGCTTCTGGTTCCTCAGACCCTAGCCCTGAAGACGTCTGCGCCCGGCCAGACTGGGCCGCATCCGTGTGCGAGACGGAGGACCCCCGGGATGCCTGGGCTCCTTTCCACGCAGGCCCCGAGCCGCTGTCGTGCTGCTGCCCGGCTCCTGCCCAGCAGGGAGACCTGAGCTGCCCCCAGCCCAGGGGAGCAGGCTGGAGGCGCTCGGGACATGGGTCCCCGCTCTGGCCCAGGCTCACCTTTCCCTGGCAGCGGGAAGGCGGTGGGCGCGCCATTGGCGTAGAGGCTGTCCCCTGAGGCGGGCGTGGGTTTCAGTCCTGAGGCAGTGGGGGCGGAGGGCAGGCCGGCGAAGCCAAAATGGTTGTTCGTTTCCATCGCTGAGGAGGGCAGAGACACGGAGAGTTAAACGTGCTGCGGAGGCCTTAACACCCCCCTCACCCCAGGGCAGGTCGTCGGATCCTCCTCCACCCTGGACATCGCTGCCAGGCTGGGGGGGGTGGAAAACGGACGGAGCCAGAGGGTGCAGCGCAAGGGCCTGAGCGCGGCGGGGCAGGACAAGGCCGCGTCCCCGCCCCGGCAGCGCTCCACGCGGGGAATCCCGGGCCCTTCTGATGGGACGCGGCTGGGAGGACGGTGCCGGCTTCCCAAACGCACGCCCCGCCGAGACTCGGCTCCTGGCCTGGGGGG